GTATCAGCTACTCCTCCCAGTTTGGTATCATCAGCAAACTTGCTGAGGGAGCACTCTGTGCCTTCATCCAGGTCATTGATGAATAAATTGAACAGGACTGGACTGAGGACTGACCCCTGGGGGACACCACTAGCTACAGGCCTCCAACTAGACTCTGCACAGCTGATCACCACCCTCTGGGCTCTGCCATCCAGCCAATTGTTAATCCACCTCAGCGTCCACTCATCTAACCCACACTTCTGGAGTTTGCCCAGGAGGACGCTGTGAGGGACGGTGTGAAAAGCCTTGCTGAAATCCAGATATATGACATCCACCACTCTCCCCTCATCTACCCAGCTGGTCATTCTATCATGAATTCCATTTCATACAGATAATTTATATGCATATTATTTTAGAATGGGCTACCATTGCTTTCTTCAATTGCTGCTTTTCTCAATCTGCAGTACTGCCTTGGGGCATCTTTGAGCTTTACTTTTCAAGTTTGCAAGTGGTGTGTTCTGGTGTTGTTATTTTTGCCCTGCAGCACTAGGATCCTTAAGGATGTAGTGGCCCCTTCTAAAGAGACTGCAAATAAAGGTGAGACTGACCTACTGCAGGAATTCAGATACCCTGTCCAGCTGTCTGCATCCCTTCAGGGAAATGGTTCAGGCTCTGCAAACTGCTAAAAGCTCAAAGCTCTTTAGTAGTAATAGGAGGAAATGGAACCCAAAACTTCTCAGATCTCTATAGTCTGTTCCAAAAAAGCATGCCTTAGCATATCGAAATTACTCTTCCTCTCTCTGAATCAGTTTGCTTATAACTAAGAGTGTTAGCAATACTTTCCCCCACTCAAGTGCTGCATATAACCTTTCAAAGTGCTGATCATTTCTTTACTTCAGCACATATTCATAAACGCACCTTTTTGCCCCAAATCATTATGTAAGAGTCCAGAAAGTATGAGACTTGTCACATGACCAGGCAGGCTAGTGAAGAGCTGCCTATGTTCCTCTAATGCCCAGAAAAAAGCCACCTGCGCAGGCACTGGCTCTGCAGCTTGTGTTGTAATGTTAGCTGTGAGAGGGTAAGGTTCAGACTTCAGTGGTGGCCAAGGTGGCAATTGTCACATGCAGATCACTCCTGTCCCTACTTCTTCATCAGAAACTATCTCCTGCTTTGTCAAACTGAAGCTGCTTGGGGACAAGACAAGCTCTGAGCAGTCTGTAATGAAGTTCTACCAGATGGTGGTAGGATATAGGTACCTTTTGTGTTGGAGTAGACTAAATCCCTTTTGTAAAGCTGCCCTACATTTACTTGTAATAAACATGTTCTGCTTTCTGATAGCAGTTTTGTACAGTTCTTTGCTGTTTCTCAGGAAACACAAGAGGGACAGACATTCAGCAAAATTTCCAGGCAACCAGGCAATCGAAATAAAAGTAAATGCATTTTCAAACCATAAAATACAAAAAGGTGCAACTCTTTCTTATGCTCTTCCTTTCCAGGGTGTGCATTTGTGAAATACTCTTCACATACAGAGGCCCAAGCAGCCATCAACGCCTTGCATGGCAGCCAGACAATGCCGGTGAGTAACTCTGCTGTTAGGGCGGGGGCGGGGGAAGTAGCCAGTGGATGGGTCCAGCCCTTGCTATCCTGAGGCCTGTCTGAGGAGGAGGGATGACTCATCTCTTCTCTGCAATTCGTCTTCCAGGAAAGATGAATAACAGCTTGGGCATGCAGGGCCTTGAGTGTGTTTAGGTAGTCAGTGGAAAGGCTGGGATGACATTGTCATTTCACACACTTGCAATCTCAAGGGGTGCTGTGTCCTGTCACCAGCCATTTTGATGACCTGAAATAAAAACATATGAGTTGCAGCTGCCAAAAGCATTGGGCCAAGATCACCACAAGTGTAACTTTTTAAGTTTCAGTGTGTCGAATAAAGTAGAAATTGCATGTAACACTATACATATACATTGTCATTAGAATTGAGAGACAAACCACACAGTGATGGGTACTTCACATAGGCCCTCTGTTATGGCAGGAGTGCTCTACCTAGGCCTGAATGTGGTCCCTACATCCAGATTTTGAAAGACAGTCAAACCAGCTACTGAATCTTCCAAGGAGCCTTTGAGGGATCGTTCCACTTAGACTAATAACTAGTATGATGGTGTTTCCAGCCTGATAGTTCAGGCAAGCAGAAGGAAAATGGAAAAGTTGGATACATGTGACTGGCCAATTATCTCTCCAACTTTGCAGGGAGTAGAGAGGAAAGGTCTTTATGGGGCAGAGGGGAGAAAAGTTTCTGATAGTAGCAAATTAGCAAGATCTCTTTTTTTTTCCAAACCTATATGAAAAAAGTGTCTAACAGTGAGCATTAAAAACAACCTCTTCAAAGAGGGGCCCTCAATTTTTTGAAGTATTACAATCAAGATTGGGAATCTCTTCCTAAAGGATTCAACTGCTTATTGGACTTGATGCTGATATCCCATAGTGAAATACTATGACCTGTCTTAGGCAAGATGTCCAAAGAGGTACTTTTAATGACTTTCTTTGAATCTTTGTCTCAAAGTGATAATGTCTATAAGCTGACACCAGCAATTGCAGTTCCACAGGGTATGGTACTACAAAGAGGTGTAATAAAAAGTCAGTGCCTCTCCCCAGAAAAACCCTACAAATTCAGGTATTGACAGAGGTAAAAGGAAGACCAGGAAGAAAAAATAAAACCCAAGGAGTGTTAAAGATTTTATCTAGTTCTAATATGCACACAGCATCCTTACCTTTCTCCAGCCGTTTTCTTCCTGTTTTCAACACATTTCACAGGAAAAAAATACCCATCTTTTGACTACTTTGGAGCAAATTTCCATCCTACTGAAGTCAACTGAATTCAGAACATGCAAGTCCATTTCATTAGTCAGTTTCTTATGGAGCCATTTTTCCTGATTACTTATGTGATTCAAATACCTTTAATAGAAGGGTTCTTGAATAATCAAATCTGGGCATCTGAAAAAGCATCACAATTTGACCTTTATCATGCATAAATCTCAAACTCACAATCAAGTTTTCATGGTTTGGCAAGTTTCCATGAATCAGCCAAACCTCAGTAACTGTCCATGTCCATACTCTTATTTTACAGAAAATACAAGGAGAAATTTCTTAGTTTAATTCTCTTCATTTGAGTGTAGTGATGTTGCATTGCCTTGTATCTCCCATGAGCTAAGGGCAGCACAGTTATGATGGCTCAGCTAACAAGTTAGGAGCTGTCGAGTGACTAGCATTTGATCAAGACAACATGCACACACTGCTTTCCTCCCACAGGCCCTCAAAATGCTTTAGACATTTCTTTGAAAGAGATGGGACGAATCCTGCAAATGATCTCTTTTTCCCCATTCTCTTTTATGGAACTTCAGGGTGCTCAGCTTCTTTCAGGGTTTGGATGTTCACAGAGAAATGCAGCCACCTCGTGGTGAGACAGCGATGTAGCCCTCATCCTTGGAAAGGAGGGGGTGCACTGCTGCCATCTTCTTTCAGACCCCCTCCCATTTCTCTCACCATTCAGATTGGCTTCATTTGTCCGTCTGCCATGCCAGCTCAAAGTTGTTCCTGTGGTTCAGCCAATTTAAACGTCTCTTGCCTTGTCCTCGTGTACTACCAACGGGGCATCCATCATCATTCTTGTCAGGTCTCGAGCCGTTCATTCCTGCGGCAGACTCCTGTTTCTCCACAGCTGTCAGGATTATTGCTCTACTGTGACTTCCTGTTCACACAACATATGTTGCCTAATAGTTTCAAAAGGCAACTTTCTTTTATGAAAATTTATTTTTATTTATTTATTTTTAACCTTTCCTTGGACAGGTGCCTGACTGTCATCCCACAAACCCACTTCTCCAAGTGAGGCTTGTTTCTCCTAGGGGCCCACCTCCACTGCAGACAAAGCAGCTCTGAAAGTTTTAAATTTTTACACAAAGCAATTATTTTGAGTAATGACTTTCCCCAAATCCTTTACTTCTAAGCAGGCCCAAAGTTTCTTCTGCACTGAGGTACCAAGAGTGCCTTTTTGGTCCTTTTAAATCATACTCCCTATCAACTCTTGGATAGCACTTGACCTTCATGTCCTCTTCTAAGTGCGTGTGGGAGTCAAAATTTTCATGCGCTCTTGCTTATATTTATAATATATTTATAACCATTATAGGCCCTTTACCCTCAGCTTTGTTGACTCTGCCCTCTCCTGTCTCTTGTTCACCCATATGGAGGCAAAAGTGGGTCTCTGCTTGGTTCTCTTCCCTTCTCCCTACAAGCCATAGCAGTCTTACCCACCAACACATATTCAGCTAATATTTCTATAGCAACAACTTGCAGATCCAACTTCTCCAGGACTGACCGACTCCTGTCCAAACTAAAATCTTGGCCTGATTTTCCAACATTTCCTAGCATATGTATAGTTGTCAGATCAAGCTCAATGTGTATAAAACAGATCTCCTAGACTGTTCCTCCCAAACACTGTTTCCCCTCTCCTTCACTTCCATTCTCAGTCACTGTGGACAACATTATCATCCTACCTGTCAGTTATGATCCTACCTAGGCATCATCTTCAGCTCAGTTTTCTCTTTCTCTACGTGTCTTCACATCCGAGTGACAGTCAAATTTGAAAAGTCTTGCTGCACAGCACATCTAAGATATGGCCTTGTCCATCCATCCCCAGAGAATGAAGTCTCCTATGAGCTTTCATCAATTCATTATCTAAAATCATAGCAGCCTCAGTCTAACCAAGACAGAACCCAGAGTCAAAACCATGTTACTGATGCAACCCTTTGACTGCCTCACCTACCAGGGCACCTCAGAAATTCTTCTTGTGAATTAATTCCTGGAAGGGTTAAAAATGTGCTAACACATCCACTTTGCATATAGGGAAATAAGGTAAGAGGCAGTGTTTGATTCATTTGATTTAACAGTCTAAAATTATTGTATCTATTGTAAGCATCTTTAGGATTCTTCCACAAAGGAGAAAGAAGAGACACTTCTAGAGATCTGTGCATTCCTCCCCTTATATGTCTATGTTAGGATAGGATGGGATGAATCACCTTCTGGGCATGCCTGTCCCTTTCATTAATTGTAATGGATATCTCAATAGACTGAACACCTGAGATGAGACTTGCCTCATTTAACTTGAGATGTCTCAAAGTTTAGGAACTATGTCTACATTTGTCATCTAAATGCTTGTCATCTAAGTTTCTTGATTATAATCAAAGAGAGAAATAGATATCTCTGGAGGTATTTTGTTCTACAAAAATAGATTTTGAAACCTGTCAATGCAAGACCCAAGTAGAAGTGTGCTTTTTAGCTAATTCTACGTTTTGTATTCCTATGATCTGTGAGATTCAAAATATTGTTTAGCTACCAGCAGTAAAATTAGAAAGGCAGAGGACCCTTACTGCTTAAAAACAAAACAAAACAAAATATATTTGCTTCCTGCCTAAGAATCTGCAATTGCCCTTTCTCCCCAGTGATACATTCTTGCCAACCTTAGGTCCCTGTGCTGCACATGCAGCTGCCACAACACCATTCCCAAAGCTAAATATTTGGGGTAAGTTCCAACAGACAATAGCCATCTGAAAGTCAAATATTTAAGCTGACTCATAGTATCTTCAGATGGTGATTTACCTCCTGTACCTTGGACATTTACTTTAAGGTTGACTGATCATCCTTAGGGGCATCTGCCTCCCCACTGACCATAGAAGGAGCAGAGGCAACCAGACCTGACTAAAGCAAAGGGATCTGCACCCCATTCTGGTTGTCTGCTGCCCAAAGAAAACTACTTGTGATTCAAAGCTGCCAGCATCTGAAACCTCTGGCAGACCTCAAAGCTGTACTTTGAACATGCCCTACAGCGATTGTCAGCACCGTGTTCAGTCCATATCTCTCTTTATTAATGAACATTAAGGCCATTATGACCTCTAGACTCCTGTAATCTAACCCATTACATAGGCCAGGTAATCTTTTGTGTTGCTCTAGAAGTCCCTACATCATTTTGGTCAAACTACAGTATTCCTTTGTTGGGACGGCCAGGGATGCATGCTATACGTAAGCTTTTATTGATCAAGCAGTGTTCTGGATGGGCTTGGGATTCAGCAATAATCACGCCAGAACGAGGTGACTACATCGAGCATTTATTCAGGTGAAAGCACATAAAAGAAGCAAAGTATGGCTAACTACTCAAGAGGTGATACCTGCCAGCAGGATACTGGACCCAAACCTGCTCTCGAGCTGGCAGATGAGAGCGAGAGAGTTGCTGACTGGCTCCCGCGGAGTTTCTCCTTCCCCCCGCTCTCTCCGCACTGTCCTCTCTGTGCCCGGTGCATCCTGGCACATAGGGTCAGTACGACCCAGGAGGCAGCCCAGGAGGTGGACAAACTCCGCCTTCAGTTGCACAACTCAGGCAAACATCTTCTTTCCCAAGGTCTGGCCTCTTCTTCTCACAGAAGATTTTTATGACTCTACAGATCACAGAAATTTCCATCTCCAATACAAGCAGGTACAGTACTTCAGACCCCACGCTCACCCTTGCTCCCCCCCGAGTCCTTTTATACT